TGTCTGCTTGCTATTGGTAGCGAAGAGCAGATAAAAAATCTTAAATTACAACGTGGCTTTCGCCCTTTACACGCCGACATGTTTAGCAGTATTGCCATAGACGCTACACGAGAGCCACTCTATCCAAGTCTTCTCATACCACCCGAAGATATTAATGCAGCAATTAAAGGAGCAAACACACCAAAAAGTATTCGGCGTACAGTAAATTTGATGGAAATGTTGCAAGAAGCTTTGGAACAAACGCAATCGTCACCGCAAACGTCTGCGGCGTCTTCAATGTTATCACTACCGACGCCAAATTCAATGTCGTCAGCGGCGACTACCCCGCAACAGCAACAAGTGCAGCCCAAAGTGTGTTTACAGGAACGCACTTTCCAATTTGAGTTGTATATTGATTGTGCGGCATCATTGCCGCTAAATCCTTCCGCTAAGGGTAAGGGTGGAAAGAATGCTGCTAAGCGTTCAGCATCCAAGCGTTTTCCAGCAGGCGAGCCACCAACCACATACGTTACATTCCAAGCAGATGAGTGTTCGGGCAGTAGCGGACCTTATAAGTCGCATGAGGGGAACGTTTATGCCACAGATGTTGTTGAGCGCAGTACGCATCCGCGTTTCACGCAACGCTTTTTGGTCACTGTGGGCGCTGAATATTTAGAAAATGTAAGATAACAGCTTTCTTGAGACCCGAAAAATTAAATTAACGATTGTTTTCTGTATCAAATTTTCAGCCTAAGCAAAATTTCATTCTGAAGCTATGGAAAAAGGCAAATGTACCGCCGACTGGCAATGGCAGTAGTGGCTCCGGTACGACTGCACGTTTGGTACCCAAGCCAATTGACGATGCCATCATAGGTTTTACTGCACTAGACTTGGGCGTTTTTTTGCGTGGCATGCATATTGGTGGCACTTTCAATGTGATCGATTTTAATGGACGCATAAATGGACAGTTGCAGTTGAGTGCCAAGCCAATGGAAGGGTGGTATGTTAAGTTTCTCGCACAACGTATATATAAACATCCACAGCCGCAAAAGGAAACACAATCTAGACCAGATCTACAGTTTATTAACCCTGCTTCTGTTTCTGCTCCTGCTAACAACGCACAATGCGCTGTAGGCGCTTCCATTGACAATGTCATTGAACAATTTGGAAACTCACTCGATCTCACACACTTAAATCTTAGTCAAGCAGTTAAGCATAAATTTAATGAGCTGGAGGGTATTTCCAAGCGCTTGCGCACACGTCTTAGCAGCGTGGCTGGTGAGCCATTGCCGGAGCAGTTCGATGCGGCCGGTTTGAATGATTGGCGACCGTTGTGTGATGTGATTGGAGAAGAGTTACCAATGGATATTGAATTAAATGAATTTGAGCGCGACATTAATTTACCACCGTTGGATGATGTGACTGAAATGGTAAATGCAAATGAAGTGAATGAATTCGAGCGTGATATTAATAAATCCGCTAATGCGGCAGGTGATGATGACCCCAAGGGCGTAGACGATAATGAACTCGAAGAGGCCGTTGATGATAATAAGGGTGATAAAAAAGAAAATTTGATCTCAAAGACGGCNTACGTTACATTCCAAGCAGATGAGTGTTCGGGCAGTAGCGGACCTTATAAGTCGCATGAGGGGAACGTTTATGCCACAGATGTTGTTGAGCGCAGTACGCATCCGCGTTTCACGCAACGCTTTTTGGTCACTGTGGGCGCTGAATATTTAGAAAATGTAAGATAACAGCTTTCTTGAGACCCGAAAAATTAAATTAACGATTGTTTTCTGTATCAAATTTTCAGCCTAAGCAAAATTTCATTCTGAAGCTATGGAAAAAGGCAAATGTACCGCCGACTGGCAATGGCAGTAGTGGCTCCGGTACGACTGCACGTTTGGTACCCAAGCCAATTGACGATGCCATCATAGGTTTTACTGCACTAGACTTGGGCGTTTTTTTGCGTGGCATGCATATTGGTGGCACTTTCAATGTGATCGATTTTAATGGACGCATAAATGGACAGTTGCAGTTGAGTGCCAAGCCAATGGAAGGGTGGTATGTTAAGTTTCTCGCACAACGTATATATAAACATCCACAGCCGCAAAAGGAAACACAATCTAGACCAGATCTACAGTTTATTAACCCTGCTTCTGTTTCTGCTCCTGCTAACAACGCACAATGCGCTGTAGGCGCTTCCATTGACAATGTCATTGAACAATTTGGAAACTCACTCGATCTCACACACTTAAATCTTAGTCAAGCAGTTAAGCATAAATTTAATGAGCTGGAGGGTATTTCCAAGCGCTTGCGCACNCCTAGACCAGATCTACAGTTTATTAACCCTGCTTCTGTTTCTGCTCCTGCTAAAAACGCACAATGCGCTGTTGGCGCTTCCATTGACAATGTCATTGAACAATTTGGAAACTCACTCGATCTCACACACTTAAATCTTAGTCAAGCCGTTAAGCATAAATTTAATGAGCTGGAGGGTATTTCCAAGCGCTTGCGCACACGTCTTAGCAGCGTGGCTGGTGAGCCATTGCCGGAGCAGTTCGATGCGGCCGGTTTGAATGATTGGCGACCGTTGTGTGATGTGATTGGAGAAGAGTTACCAATGGATATTGAATTAAATGAATTTGAGCGCGACATTAATTTACCACCGTTGGATGATGTGACTGAAATGGTAAATGCAAATGAAGTGAATGAATTCGAGCGTGATATTAATAAATCCGCTAATGCGGCAGGTGATGATGACCCCAAGGGCGTAGACGATAATGAACTCGAAGAGGCCGTTGATGATAATAAGGGTGATAAAAAAGAAAATTTGATCTCAAAGACGGCGCCCGGTGTAGCCGATCCCATTGTTGAATAGTGGCGACATAAACGCCGGAAAATAACTAAGTCAGCAGCAGCAACAGCAGCGATGAAAATAAGAAATACTATTACAATTAAACTTATGCAACACACATGCCAGTCTATAGCACTCTTAGCATCACAAATAACATTTTTAGCACCATTACTACTAACCCCACAACAACCACCGACCGTGAAGGCATCACCCCCAATCCAGCTCATCATTAAAACGCTCCTTGCATTTTCAATAAAGGCTCAATAGTACTTAAATAAATTTATGCATCGTAATAATAAGTAAAGCGCAACTTTTGCCAATTTTTATTAATAATATTACTAAATGTGTACGCGTATGATAATATATAGTGGCTATTGCAACTACTATATTTATGGAAGTTTTAAACGACCTGCGATTCTTAATAGCTAAGCAAAATTGTTATTACTTTCTCCCCTCCTTGTCTTTATAAATAATGTATTTCACCCAATTAGCATTAATTATTTACTTTATGAAATATACATACATAAAAATGTAGTTACCGTATATACATACATACATACATACATACATAGGTTTAAGTATTGAGTTATATATTAAATTTCGAGAGAAAAGAAACCACGTATTTATAAATGAAGTATTTAGTTGCACTAAATTATTTTTATTATTATTACTATTACTATATGTACAATGTAATCATTGAAAATTCCAAAAGAGTAGTTATGCAAGGCATTCGATTATCAATTAAAAATCGTGAAAGTGGAATAAAAAACGAAAATTCTTATCCAAGCCCAGAAACAGAATGTTTGTGTATAAACTAGAAATGAAAATCAAAATAAATTCAATAAAATGAAATGTTACTGGTTTTATGTGAAATCTAAAGCGTTTTATATAAACTACAAGCTGACCCGGCAACTTCGTTTCGCCCAATTACATTTTTGATTGCATTATTTTCGAACATTCACGATTTCAACCGAAATTTGTTCTTTTTTTACCGAAAAATAGCGTATCGTTACCTTAATATAGAAAGGCCCTATCTCACAACGACGCTGAAATACAAAAAGCCGTAACTAAGCAAACATCCGAAATGCCCGCTTCGATTGATTATGATGTATTTCATCGAATTATGTGTCCCAAACCATTTTAAGCAATAAAAAATTTTAGTCAGTTACGGCTTTTTTGCATTTCAGCGACTGTATGAGTTAGGGCCTTTCTATATTAAGGTAACGGTATGTTAATAAATTCAATTATAGATTGAATGGAAGACTCTTCGAATTCAATATGATGTTATATTTAAGAGGAGAACTAAAATCAAGTATTACACCCCTATTGCGAGTGTCGACTTGTAGTAGATAAACGAATATTTGTCGATTATCGATTATCCATGGTATTTTGAATGTCGCTTTCTCATTCAATAGGAGAGTGTGAATACTTTTAGCGCTCATCCTCATGCAAACAAGCTGTTGAAGGATGATTGCCTAAAAACTATTCACAGTCGCTTATCGAACGAAAAATCGAAATTCACAATACCGTAGAAAGTCGATAATCGAATAATAGTAGTTTATCTACTACTAGTTAATTTCATTTAAATCTAAAAATAATAATAAAATAATGATTGTATTCACTTTAAGGCTGCATGATACGCAAGATTTTTTGTTTTCTGCTCCAGAGCGTAAATGAAGAATGAGGATGGTTTCCCAACTCAGGAACACGCCACATATAGCTGGCCGTGTGAAAAGCATGCCATTCCAGATTTACGCCACACACATTGCGCGACTACGCAAATGTAAGTATCCAATTCGGTCCAGTTGTTTTTAAGTTTTAAGCACCCGAACAAACCACGATCCGTTTTTATATACATACGTATATAGATAAGTTCAGTGCCAACACATTTTTTAACATTGCTGGTTCAAAGTGTTTTTGAACAAATTTCAATAATTTAGTTCTTACTGTTTAGAAAGGTGACGGATAGCGCTATTGAACATATAACTTAATCAAAGATTTTTCAAATACTTTTCGTTTGATACCCATATTGTAATATTTAGTTTATCTTATTAATTTAATTGAAGTAAATTTGTGAAAAGGTGGCAACCCGCCTCAAAAATATTTTCAATAGTCAACTTTTGTGAGCCCCTCTAGTTTGATACCCATTTTGTATATTTAATTCCGCCTGAGAAACGTTGGCAGCTCTGAAAAAAAATGATAAAGTTGAATGGCCGATCAAAATTTTGCTGGATCCTTTAATGCACTACCGGAATTCAAGGAAATGCACTACCGGAAGTACAGGGTGATGAGCACGGGTTCTCACCCTCCACTTCCGGTTATGCATTTCGTCGCGAATAGATATTTCGACCCATATAATATCCCATTATTATTGTTTATGTTTTTGACATTTCCACTTATAGAAAAAATTTCCCTACATTAAGTTGAAAACGTCAGTTGGAGGCGATTTGATTATTTTTTGTCGTTTGCCCCGAAATCTGTTGCAATTTTCTTAATTTCTTTTTTTTATATGGCCCCAACTAGAAGGTGTCCAAATTAGGTGGGTCAACGTGTAATACCCCAATACGAAAGTACTAGAATAAAGTGAAAAATTTATAAATGTGTTTAATTGCGCATGTACATGGATTTTAAAGCAAACATTCGCATTTTGTATTTTTCCATTGTTTAAAATAAGAAAAAATGCAAAAACATGAAATAGATAACGAAGAAATGAAACACTGGGCAAGTGCATGAATTCCGTAAAAACCGAAAGAAAAATTGGAACAAAAGAAATAACCACAGCAAAAAAGGTGGTTTGTATCAAAGAAAAAGTAATTGCTATGAAGTGTAGTAGAGCAGAACAGTGAAAATTAAATATGTTATATACGGATTAGCGCATGTGAAACAAAATACTGCAAAACAACGTTCAACCATAAAGAAGTTGGGCGTTAAGAAATCCATATCGACCGACAGACGCCATTCATTGCAGCGCTTTTGGGTTCCGCAAAGTATCATTCGTTGGACGAGCAAGCTCTGCTGATTTGGAGAAAACCAACCATATATTTGCCTTTATACGAATCTATGGATGTATGTAACGCAGTAATCGTTTCCATTTCCAAAAATTAAGTAAGTTATTGGCGCAACCTCGAAGAGGTCAGTTAATCATCGCTGCAATATTTTTCGTCTATATTCTTTGTACTTAAGTGTGTACATATGTATGTATTTATGGTGTCTGACACTTAACTAAAAGCATGTATGCTTTGGGGTTTTCCAATTTCTGCTGAATAAGAAGTAATCGGAGACTGGCAAAGTTGTGTGGCGTTTGCCATTATTGCACTTTCTTAAGGCGCACATTTGTGATGACGCTAAGCAGTATGCGGCTGAGTGGCAGTCTCAAGTATCACGCAACTACATACTTCTCTACATGCTTTGTTAGCAGTGGTAATTAGTTTCTCCAAGGTGTGGTTGTATGTTGCGTGTTGGGCCAACACTACTGCACCCGCCAGCTTTTTTTTGTGATGCTAGACATGCTTTGCTTCTACATGCATCTAAACACATTGCTACTACGATTCTATTAATACATGTTATTAGCTACGTAACCGGTGACGTGCTTTGCTAGTATTTTATTCCAAATTGATTTATCACTTACCTCCTAGTTTATCCATGTTTATCCTTACAAGCTTGTCTAGGTGGATTCTTTTCTATATAATAGGGAATTTACATGATTCAACTTTCACAGGTGATTAGTTGAATCAAAAGTTGGCCGTAAGTAGGCAGCTGGCCATAGAGTCCTGATTAATCGGCCGATGGCTAGGCTAGTATCGGTATCGGCGGTTTGGGAACGATTCTTGAATGAGGTAATGTTATTTAGTTATTTGAATATGTTTTTCTTTTGTTATTATAAAATGTTATGAAAGCATTCTTTCTTGAAGTGAATTTACATACATATATCCAAGATTTAATCGGCAAAGAATCGGCCGATGCTTCGGCCGGTTAAATCCTCAATATAAATTCATTTCAAGAACAAATGCTTTTATAAACATTTATAATTACTAACGAATAACACAATCAAATAACTAGACAACATTACCTCATCCAAGAATCGGCCAAAAACGGCCAATGGCGATGTATATGTATGTATATTTGGTGGGCGCGGTTTCGTTGTAAAGGTGGTCCCACACTACTTTTGCTTAACTCCGAACATTGGATCATGAAGAAACTATCGGTCCTACTATATTTGCATATAATCGTTGAAACCGTTTGTTTTTTGTTTAAAAATAACTTGTTTAATTTTGCAATAACAAACTTATGTATATCCCATTATGCCAGCCAAGCTGGGTTTGAAAAATATTATATTGACTTATTTTATTCTATTTTTTAGACTTGTATAAGCAATTGATAAAAGATCGCTCAATAAAAGCTCGATAAATTAATGACGTAAAATTCGTTTTTAAAGGCACTTAAAGATAGTATTTGACTCCTTCGGTCACAAACGAGTAGTTAATATTTTGATATGCGGTAAGTTGCCGAAAAATGGCGCATGGCTATGTAACTGTCATAAATATTTGTACATCTTAAGCTTTTTTGCAGATAAGCTTAATAATGCTTAGGCTTCGTAATGCTATTGCTAGTGACTTTAAGCTAAAAATCTATGAATTCATTTAATATTGTGAGCAAAAATGTGAATTATGTATTTCCCAACAACTTTAAACGACGTACATTTATTGTACCCACTCGAAACATTTACGCTTGGACCGGTTTTAATCGGCATTTGCATTTCAAAATTCTTAAGTTGACGTGAATTGTCGCAATGTCAGCATAACATTATCGCCAACAAAAACAATAATGTTAAAAAAATACAAATCTTATCAGCAGCAACTGGATTTCATTCAACAAATCTGTTGGAAGTGTGTATAAAAAAGTATGAACTGCATACATAATTTTTGTGCAACTCCGCCGTTATGGTTCGATAATAATAATAATAATAATAATAGATTGGCGCTTACACATATGATAGTGTTTGGCCGAACTTCTCCTCCGATTTGTGGCGTGCGCCTTGATGTTGTCACACAAAGCGGAGGGACCTACAGTTTTACGCCGACTCCGAACGGCGATTGTATTTTTATGAGAAGCTGTTTTTCATGGCAGAAATACNGCAGCTCTACTCCTTCGAAAACCAATAAAATAAATAGATATTGCTATACACACTTGTGGTCATAAGTGGGCGGGGCCACGCCCATTATCCAAAAATGTACAATAATCAAATTTCCTGCTAGGTCATTATTGCAATCGTCTATTTTGAGTGAATCAGCTTCAATAGTTACTGATCTAGAGCAGTTTTCGTGTTTCTGTAAATTACCGTTATATGGGAGGTGGGCGTGGTTATTGCCCGATTTAAAAGATTTTCAACAGATTTCTTAGTTGGACCCTAAGCAAGGCTCGGACCGAATTTGGTAGGGATTGGTGAGCAGCTACTGAGATACAGCATTTCATCATAAGTGGGCGGGGCGACGCCCATTTTCCAAAAATCTCATTATAATATTATTTTTTACCATAATTCCAGTTCACATACTAATTTTCAAAAATTTCGATTGAATATTTACTGAAATATCATAGTTTTTGCCTTTTTCAAAAATACCGTTGTATGAGAAGTGGGCGTGATTACAGCCCGATTTCGCTCATTTGCAATACCAACCTATCTTGGGCAAAGGGCAACCTACATACGTGCCAAATTTCGTTGAGATATCTCAATTTTTGCTCGAATTATCAGGTACACAGACGGACGGACGGACTGGCGGACAGACATGACATATACATATATACATTTGTCTATATCTATCTCGATTCGTTTTGGCTGTTACAAACAA